CTTTCAGGGTCTGGTATCCAGTATTTGCATGAAAACAGAATTATACACAGAGATTTAAAGCCTGAAAATATTGTTCTTCAGGATGAAGGTGGGAAGGTGAGTTAGGTGTCTCTGTCACTGGTGTTCCCACTGTCATTTCTGGAATTTTCCAGCAGCTTTGTCTTCCCTGAGAGAGATAAAAGAGAACATGTCGTTTGTGGCACTGAACTGAGCTGAAAACTCAATTGTGCATTTACTACAAGTTTACATTGTGATGAAGCCAACAATTTTGCTTATTCTTAAATCCTTATCATTGAAAACAAGTAACTTGTTTTCATTCAAGAACCCTGCCTCCAACAGAATATGAAGGAGTTGAGGTGATAGTTTATCCCTGTGTTTGTGGCTTTGAGGGCGGCATGGAAAATCCAGCTACTTCAGGGAGTCAGCCTCATTGATTTCCTAGTGAAAATGTGTTTCTCTATTGTTACTCTTTAAACAAATACCTTTCAATTCCCAAATCAAAAGCTAAATACTCTGTTTGGCCAAGCTATAACTGATAAACTGCTTTAAATAAAGTCAAGTCTATGCTGAGATAGGTGGCCAAGGCCAGCATATGTGATGCAACAGCACGCCTTAGCATTGTGTCGCATGTTGAAGCTTCACCATGGATCTCCTCCAGATTTTCCATTCTTGCTTTCCTCTTCTTGTGTATATGGATGTCACTGCACAAATTTGGGATTGTTTGGTGGGTTGGTTTTTATTCTCTGAATTTGCTCTTCTCATGAGCTATTTGAACTGTCTACAGATTGTTCACAAAATTATAGACCTGGGGTATGCAAAGGATCTGGATCAAGGAAGTTTATGCACTTCATTTGTTGGAACGTTGCAATATTTGGTAAGATGTGTTTTTCATGCTTGTGAGTGATGTGGTATTGCCACATGCTATAGAATCACAGAGTCTGTATCAGAAGGAAGCTGCTGAAGCCTCCTATAGACTGTCACCAGCAATATGGCCCAGCCAGGCCCTGAAACCTCCAAAACCTGAGATCCTGTGCCTTCTTGTCCCAAGGGTGTTTGCTCTCCAGGGGAAGCAGTGTTTCCTCATGTTCAACCTGAACCTTCCAAGATGTCCATCAGTTGCTGTTGCCCCTCTCTGTATCTCCTGTCGCTTCCAAGATGCGTTTGGCCCCTCCATCCCTTTGTGTGCCATAGTTGGGGGCTGCTCTAAACTTGCCCCACCTTCAGCTTCCCCACAGCCAGACCCAGACCCAACAAGCCCAATGCCTCCCATCTCCTCATGGATTGGATCCACCAGGCAACCTAAGCAGGGCTGCACTGTGGTCCCTGTGCCACTCTGAAACCAAGGGCCATGCCCAGACACAGCTTCATCTCTAGAAATGCAAGAAAATAGATGACCTGAAATACACCACTTTCAAAGTGTCTTTTTATGATCTTTTTAGGCTCCAGAACTCTTTGAAAAGAAATCGTACTCTGTTACTGTTGATTACTGGAGCTTTGGAACAATGGTGTTTGAATGTATTGCTGGATTTAGACCTTTCTTGCACAATCTGCAGCCATTTACCTGGTAAGCATTTACTCTGAAAGAGGTGGTGCCAAGATGCTCCTGTGTATGATGAGGTGACAGTGTGAACCAGAGGGATAAATTCATTGTGAGGTGCTGAGGCTGGTGGTCTGCTTTAGTAGTGTCAAAGACAGTTTGAATGGCTATTTGTGTATCTTGTAGTATGTGCTTATTACATTGTGTGGTAGCCTGTGGTCACCATAATTCCTTCACAAGTGAATTTTGAATCCAAAATAGAATTATAAGCTGGTCTGTATTGGTATCAGGAAAACATATTGGGAGGGAGGGATACAGTGTGTAAGCTTGGCTTTTAAAAGGGTGATTCTGCAACAGGAAAAACCTGAAACTAGCTTTTCTGTTAGCATTGAAATAATAACAGGGAAAAAAGTATATTTGAGGTTATATGCAAGTGTTAGCTTAATAAATTGTGTGTTATCAAAGCAGTTTTAATCAGTATCATGCATTTGTTCCCTTTTTAACTGCTAAATCTAATCTTTGAATTTTATTATTTTAATAGTGCAATATTTGTTGCATTTTTTTTGCAACATCAAAAACTTGAGTTAATGTAAGTAGCACAAAATGAATGAGGTTAGAAACAGCTCTTTCCTAGCCACAAAAGAAGGAAGGGAACAATGCAGACCACATGCCTGTGGCTTCAGTTCCAGTTAGGGCTGACTGAAGCAGAGCTCCAGGTGCAGTCGAGCTCTCGGCAAAGCTCAGACTAGTGCTGCAGTGAGCGAGGGTGGGGAAACTGAGGCAGAATTGCTGGTGCTGTTTTCCCTAGTGCATCGCTTGCTGTATTTCTAACACTTCTTAGCTGCTTCACTCAGGTTGGAGTAAGGGTTTTGCCACATGTCTCTTGCAAATCTTGATTGTCTGGAGGCTGATTTTGTTTGCAGGTCTGCTCTGTGGTCAGTGAACCTGTTGACCCTCTTGTTTGATGCTGTCCAGACCTCCTTGCATAAGGAGCAGAAATGTTTCCAGAGATGGAATTAGTAGCAAGGACTGCCCTCTTCCACTCAGAGATATTCTGGGTAGATTGTTTGGAAATGTTTTCTTTGTCCTGAAGCAAGAGTTTGTGTTCTAAAGCTACAAGCCAGGGGCGCTTTTTGGTGCTGCCAATATTCAATTGAACCTTTAGAAAGGTCACATTGTCAGTATATCCACCAAGGATTTAATTTTCTAGGCATGAAAAAATCAAGAAGAAGGATCCAAAGCACATCTTTGCTTCTGAAGACATGAACGGGGAGGTTCGCTTTAGTACCCATTTACCACAGCCTCACAGCCTCTGTGGGTAAGTGTGTCCTTGTGGCCACACAGGATAATTTTTGGCTTGTCTTTTACACTGAGGGCTCCTTCTCCTACTCCAATCTCCTGGTGAGCTATAATTTGTTGTTAAGGAATATAAACCATATGATTCTCTTCTGATTACCTGGCTCTCCAATGGCACTTCACCCTGTGGCTGTTTGTGGGATCAGGACAATTCACCTTGCAGTGTGAACTTTGTGACTGCTTTCCATCTAGTATTATAAGGCCACTGAGTAACATCTAGCTGATAACTTGGTGGCATTGAGTCTCATAAACCAAGTAGTTGAGTCAACTGCTGCATGGAAGCAGAAGCTTCTAGTACTTGTGTTGGGAAAACTGGCTGCAAGCCCAGCAGAGACCACAAAGATGGTCAGAGCCTGTTAGTTGCCTCCCTGCAGTCCTGCATCGAGCTCTGGGGCCCCAGACTCAAGAGGGATATGAAGTTGTTTGAGCGAGTCCAGAGGAGGCCACGGAGATGCTGCGAGGGCTGGAGCAGCTCTGCTCTGGAACCAGGCTGAGAGAGCTGGGCTGGTTCAGCCTGGAGAAGAGAAGGCTCCTTAAGGGGAGACCTCAGAGCAGCTCCAGTGCCTAAAAACCTGGAGGTTTTAGACAAGGGGCACAGGACAAGGGGGAATGGCTTTAACCTGCCAGAACAGGGGAGGTTTTGATGAGCTCTTAGGCAGAAGCTCTTCCCTGTGAGGGTGCTGAGGCGCTGGCACAGGGTGCCCAGAGAAGCTGTGGCTGCCCCATCCCTGGCAGTGTTCAAGGCCAGGTTGGACACAGGGGCTTGGAGCAACCTGCTCTAGTGGAGGGTGTCCCTGCCTGTGGCAGGGGGTTGGAACTGGATGAGCTTTAAGGTCCCTTCCAACATTAGCCATTCCATGATACAGGGAGAGGCCCATGAAGCTGGACTGCTTCAGTCCGGAAAAGAGAAGGCAAAGGGTAGTCTGATTTTTGTCTTCTACTATGTAATGGGCATTACAGAGAAAACGGTTTTGGTCTCTTCTCAGAGGGGCAAAGCAAAAGGACCAAAGGCAACAGCACAAGTTACAAGAAGAGAAACAAAATTTGGGCACAGAAGAGGTTTCTGTCTGCCAATAATGCATCTCTGGGACAGGCCCAAGCAGTGGGGAATCTTCATCTGTGGGGCCTGCCCAGACTTGCTTGGGCACAGTCCTGAGCAGCCTGCTGTAGATATGACATTGGCCCTGCTTGGGGCTAGGGCTCAGACCAATGACCACCAGGAGGGCCTTCGACCTGAATTGGTCTATACCAAGTCAGAAGTCAGGCTCTGCTCACTTGTTATTTATGTAGCATCTGTGTCTTTAGATGTGCCCAGCATTGCAGTGCAACTCACTGGCACTGGCAGATTTCTCAGAGAAGTACTGGAGATGAGAATGATAAAAGGGAGCTTTGTGCCAGTGCTGTGGGCTAGTCCATAATGCACTGTGGGCTGTCTTCAGAGATACTCTTGACAGTTAACTTCTTGTGTAGATAAAGATGGAGGAAAACCTTCCAGGCAGCATGGGGATGGCTGTTCTGCAGACAAGGGTTTGAAAACTACTGGGTTTTATTTGTATCATAGTTTTTGGACAAAGAAGAACCAAAAACTATTTCTCCCCCTTAGCCATTTGATACATCTTAGCTGGTGTGTCAAGATACTTTTAGCTCAGTGAATGGGAATCAGAAGTGTCATGAAAGGTACATTGTGTTCCTGCTAAGGTCACCAGGACTGTTACTACAGTGGGATAGTGGGGATGCTCACACTGTGTGTGCTCTCCTCCCCTTCCAGGCTTCCCCTGCCTTCCAGATGAGCCGCTGCAGTGAACTCACTGTGCTCTACACATGTTCACATATGTTGTGCACATATGTTGTACATATATGGTCTCTAACCTAAGAATTGTAACCTTATTGCTGTTGTGAGACCCTAGTTTCCTAAGTGGACTGAGTGTTGTAGTCTCTTTCTTACATCCCTTCTGGTTTAGTTTAATTGTAGGACCGATGGAAAATTGGTTGCAGTTGATGCTGAATTGGGATCCGCAACAGAGGGGTGGAAGTTTAGATCCTGAGTCCGGTCGTCCAAAGTGTTTCCTAATAATGGATTACATACTGAATTTGAAGGTGAGTGAGGGTTGCTACTGAATTTAAAGGCCTACTGAAAGCACCTCAGAGGACAGAAGGCTTATTCAGTGGAGCAAGACTATAATCCTAGCATCATCCAGCTGCAGGATCATGAGCAATGTTTTTTTTGGTATAGTTAGTGTATATGCAGCCTGTCTAGTGACAGGTTGCATATACAAGTGACCAGTGAGTGTATATGCAGCCTGTCTAGTACCTGTCTCAAGGCGAAATACCCTAGAAATGCTAATCTCCAGCTCTACACTTGGAATGGAAGAATGACCCAGTGTTACTGCCTGTCACCTCGGAAGGGACTTGCCAAGTTGAATTAATGGTTAAATATTTGCTAATAGAAGTTTTCCTGAACTCCACTGCTGGTGCCATGACTTCCAAATAGTAGAACAGAGATTACATTCTCCTAACTCTTCCCCTTCAAGTAGTGGAGCTTTGCTAAAGTCAGTCTAGTTTCTCTGACATTAAAAGTTAGGTGTGGGCTTTGAGTTTTATTATGTGGGGCTTTACTCCTTGTCTTGATTCCTGTAGTCATTAAAAGTCAACTGATGCTTTCAGTCTAACACATTAATTGCTGCATACTCCCTCCCAGGCCTTTGTGTCCTTCCTCTTTGATAGGCAGTGACTTGTAATCAACTTGTACTCTTTTTACAGATAGTACACATCCTAAATATGACCTCTGCCAAGATCGTTTCATTTCTCTTGCATCCTGAGGAAAGCTTTCATTCCCTTCAGATTCGGATTGAGTTTGAAACTGGAATAAGTACTGGAAATCAAGAACTGCTGTTAGAGACCGGGATTTGCCTGGACCCTCGGAAACCTGCTTCCCAGTGTGTGATCGATGGCGTAGTAAGAATTGTTCTGTTTGTTTAATATCACATTCTCAGGGAATTTAAAATCTTGGGGAAGATAAATTGCTCTCATCTTCCACTGGAGTCTGTTTGCTCTGTAAGTGTAGTAATGTAAGGTCTGAAATTGTTTCCTTTATTGGGTAATGTAAGATTACCAATGACAGATTCCTATGATATATGTTCCTGTATCTAGTCTAAATATTCTCTATATATTCTATATCTGGGCTAAATAATTCCTATTTATACTCTAAGTATTATAGCATTATTATTCCTATAATTATGTGTAAATGTTTAAATACAGTAACTTGTTAGCAAAGGCTCCTATTTTTCTCTAGGTCTTCTTAAGATCCGTTTTTTAAGGCACCTGATCTTCTGAGTATCTACCCAGAATAATTAGTTCATGATGTAACTAAGACCCTCTGGGTTAGTAGGAGATATGTTTGGGATTTCTTTATGTTCTGTTTTCTTTTTCTGCCAGAGAGGCTGGGATAGCTACATGGTCTATTTGTTTGACAAAAGCAGAACTGTCTATGATGGACCCTTTGCTTCTCGGAGTCTGTCTGACTGTGTAAATTACATTGGTAAGTATGCTGGAGAACAGCTGGGAACGGAAAGTGCTGCTTCTCAGGCAATAGGAAAGTAGATTTTCGTAGAAATCTGTGTGTTATATTGAAGGGCACGATCTAATTCAAGAGAACCATTTAAGAACCATGAACAGCCTAACAGCGTTTATTCTACAGAGCTGTATCTCCCCATTTGCTACATCTAACAGTTCAGAGAATTTGTTGCTCACCCTTTGGGAACTCTTTGATAGAGCTGCTTAGAACTCACATAAGGTTTTTGCCCTTGTATAAATTTCCATGCACTGACCAGCATCTACCCCACCTCAACACCTTAACCTAAGCAATGCCCAACTTAAACAGAACCATGATGTGAATGAAGGCTTACACGCAACCTAATCTTGTAGCCTAGAGAGGGAAACTTGTTATGTCTGTGCACTGCATCCTGGAAAGAAGGTTCTGACATAGGGGCTCTGGTTTCATTTGCACAGCTTTCTGCTCTGCTAAAGCCTGTTGTCCCTTCATACCCAGTGTTGCAGTGACATCATGCTGAAAGATGGTTTGCGGAACTTGAGTGATAGCCCACATAGATGTCCTTTGGTGGTACCAAGGGTCAAGGACCTTCTTATCTTAGGGTTTAGCATCTGTGTAAGTTGTGAGGGGAAGAAAGGATATGTGCAACATGCCCAGGTACAAACAGGTTTCAGCTCCTTGCTCCTTTCTCTTGAGCTTTGGGTGTCCGTGAGCAGTTGCCCTCCTACAGCTCTCCTGGATTTATGCTTGTGTCCTACATCAGCATCCTGAGGGATACAGATTACCTTTTCCTCTCTCACTGTCTGTAATAGTTGCATTTCAGCTGTGATCCATCTCTTATATCTCTCCTAAGTGAAAGAACAGCTCCCTCATTCTATCCTGCTGATCATTCGTTCACCTTGCTCTAATAACAGAGCCAAGCTACTGTGTTTGGGCACATTACGCCAGTTGCAGGACTGCTGTCATTCTACTGACAGTTAGTGCTGGTCTTCAGAGACACTTCACAAGTTCAAAATCTCTTATACTGTCTTCCTGATAGTTCTGACCTCTAGTCATGATATGTCCATAACCCCATAGCATTGATCCTACTTCTGGTCTCACCAAGCAGAGCCAAGTGACTGAGAAACTCCAGGCTTCTCCTCCATTTTGAGTTGTTGGGAGTAGAGCCTGTCTGCTGCTGCATGGTGGGGTCTGCTCCAGTGGGTCCTTGCTGCCTAGCCCTAGCATCATCAGTATACTTTAAGACCATGCATGAAAGCTGCTTCTCTGCTTACAGCTTCCCTTACATGTCTCCTGAAATGATAGCATCTGCAGGACCTAATATACCCCTATGAAAGTGTACAAGCTGTATGAAGGACCTTGTGCACCTATATGAAAGAGAAAAGAATGTCAAGGGACAGGAGACATTACTAGGTTACTGCATGTAAAGGCAATGCATTGTGACATACTGTTAAGTAGCTTAATTTTCTTTGGCCTGGCTCTGCATTTGTGCTAGTTTTCCGTATCTCCTTTTACTCTCGTTCAGGTTTATCCTGATTGGCTTTTTCTGTGTTCTGGGCTACTTTATCCTGGTGAATTTCATTGTGTGGCATCATTGTGCTGAATCTCTTGGAGCAAAGGCTTTTTACAACATGTTTATTGACATCTCAAAGTACTGACAGTTCCCCGTCTCTGTAGGGGAGCACACAGAAGTCCTGTGTCTTTTCCCCTTAAACATCTACATTGGGAGTCTGGGAAGGAGCATCAAAAGATTTAAAGATGTTTTCAGATGAAACACACATCAGTATATAGTGACCAATTTCAGCTGATTAAATGGAGCAATTAAATCTGCTCTGCTAACTTGGGCTAGTGCTTTAGATAAGAGTTTCTAGATAAAACCACCCCTGGGTCCTGCTGTGTGCCGTGGTTCATGCAGTATGTCTGCTGGTGCCAACAGACCAACATGCTCGAGGGGATCAGTGCTCCTGCACCTGTGACTTCAAACATGAGTAGTTGCCTGGCTGGCAGGAGGCTGTCAAATAACTGGAAAAGCTGTAATGTGTAACGCTTACTCACACTTGAGCAGGTCTTGCATGGCTTGATCCCTTAGTTTAGGCACTTGAAGCACTGGGAATGTTATAAGCACTGAAGTACTTCTCTGGAGTTGTCCTTTCATTGTGTTTTTCTTGCATTCAGTACAGGACAGTAAAATCCAATTACCAGTTTCTCAGCTGCGCAAGGTATGGGCAGAAGCGGTTCACTATGTGATTGGGCTGAAGGAAGATTATAGCAGGCTCTTCCAGGGCCAGAGAGCTGCCATGTAAGTTGTTACTCCTCATTCAGAAGATCCCTTATTATGCCAATACAGAGACTCTTTGCATGGAAATGTACATCTCAGGATGTTTTGGTTACCCAGAGTTTTACAGCCCTTTGCTATTCTATACTTTTAAGTCATAAAACATATTTGGGGGAGCTTATTCCACTCTAGAAATAGTATTGCATAGTGCCTGACATGTATAACTGGAAATAACCTTGAATATAGTCACAGCCTCACAGAATGGCTGAGGTTGGCAGGGACCTCTGGAGGTCATCCCAGTCCAACTCCCCCTGCTGAAGCAGGGTCACCTACAGCTGGTTGCCCAGGACCAGGCTCTTAAATATCTCCAAGGATGGAAACTCCACCACCTCTCTGGGCAACCTGTGCCAGTGCTCAGTCACCCTCGCAGTAAAAAAAAGTTTCCTGATGTTAATAGAGAATTTACTGTGTCAGTTTTTTGCCCGTTGCCTTTGGTCTTGTCACTGGGCACCCCTGACAGGAGCCTGTCTCTGTTCTGTATGTACCCTCACCATAGGTATTTATACATTTTGATCCCTGCTCAGCCTTCTTTCCTCCAGGCTGAACAGTCCCAGCTCCCTCAGCCTTTTCTCATAGGTGACGTGTTCCAGTCCCTTTGTAACATTCACTGGCCTTCCTCCAGTATGCCTGTGTCTCTGGGGAGCCCAGAACTGGACCTAGGTATGGCCCCACCAGTGCTGAAATAGAAGGCAAGGATCAGCTCCCTGAGCCTGCTGGCAACACTCCTCCTAATGCAGCCCTCTGTGGTTGTTTCACAAGTGAGAGAATGAGTGAAACTTGAGTTTTGTCCTGTGATTGAATCACAGAATGGGCAGTGTCGTTTATCTCAAGTGATAAAAAAGGTGCCAGCAGTCACCAGGGGCAATATGCACTACAGGACCCTCTAAATGCTAAGAAATACTTTACACTGCAAGGGCTAATCAACTGACCTTGACAAAAGTAGTGGGAAAAGAGGAAGGACCTTCTCTTTTGCTTGCTGAAGGTCTGCACTGCCTGAGAGTCCCTGTTCCAAGGATATTCCAAAATGTTTTGCTACCTGTGCCTCTTCTTCAGGTAATTTAAGTCCAGATATGCTTCTAAAACTAGTGTGCTGTTCTTGTTTCCTTTGTTAGGCTCAGTCTTCTTCGGTACAATGCTAACCTAATCAAAATGAAAAACAATATGGTGTCAGCATCCCAGCAACTGAAAGCCAAACTGGAATTCTTTCATCAAAGCATTCGCCTTGACCTGGAGAGATACAGTGACCAGATGGCTTATGGCATATGTATGTGTTGTGTAATGCTTGTTTGAGTGTCTTGTCTGATGCTGTAAAGGCTCAGGCTGGGTAAGAAGGACTGTGGATAAGAACTGGCTTAAAAGACAATGCAGGAATTGCCATTGTGTTCCTCAATATCTTTATGGGTTTGTTTTAGCTGGGGCAGATACAGGAGAAGAGTTTGGCAGAAGCAAAGGCAGGAGGATAAAAACCACAGTGTTTATGGAGACCTTCAGTGACAGTGAAACCAGTGGTCAGCTGTTGCCTACTGAGAACACCAAGCTAAGAAAATGAGAGTATTAATAGTAGTGGTGATGTAG